GTACACATGGATTGATGGCCATTTTCGAAATGGCTGTAATTTTAAAGATATTCACCAGAGTTATGACAAACTATATATCAGTAGAAAGCTTATGACCTATAGAAACTAAAAATACTAATCACTAGTACCTAACGTCCTTTGTAACCTGACACCAGGCCGGCAATCATACCACATGCTGTGCAAAACTAGGGTGCATTTGAGAAAAGATATCTGCTTATAAATTGCTTGGAATTTTAAGAAATTTTATCAGTAAGTAGTATAGGCATCATTATCTTAAATGAGCATAGAACTTTTTTGTATGATAAATCTAGTGGCCACAGCAGAGGTACAAAGTTAACATAGGTTTTTTCGATAATATTTTTTGTCATAAAATGTATTCCACACAAGATACAGAAATTTCCTATGCTTAATTAAGGTGGCTCGATACACTTTTTAGCCAAAGGAGCAAAAGTTGAATATTTTCTGTTTAAATGCTTTTACAGGGTTAAGTTTTACTTATAATTGTAACACATAGTAAGACGTGTCACAGACAAGAAGAATTCTGATAAAAGTCGCGTTTCCATGACAACTATAACGAATACTGGCAACACTAAATAGCCGAAAATATCGCAGTTTTTCGAGTTTTTTTAAAAAATGAGTTCGGTGACCCCAACTTTTTTTTTAATAAATCAGTTACGTTAGTGTCGAGAAACATTTCTGGGAAGTTTAAAAAAAATCTGTCGACTCAATTCTTTAGAATTAAATTTCGACTTTTTTGACAGTTTCTGTCGACAATTTTTTTTTATTTTTCTATCATGAAATCTTGAAGCATGTATCTACTCATGTACAAATTTTCAGGGTACCTTACCGAACTCGTTTTGGAAATAATCACGGTTTTATTCCGCGCGGCCAAAGTTTTTCACACTCTGCAAGATCAATGAATTGACATGCGCGTACATGTTTTCGCAGGCGCATCTCCAGAAAAACACGCACAAAAAAGTTTTTAGTCTCGTCGAAATATCAAATATATATTGTGTTTTCTTGCTTAGAAATGCAAATATATTTGGTTTTTCATGCTAACTCGGGATAACGCCAAGAAAACAGGTGATTGTCGGTCGTTTGGTATAAGATATGTGTAACATGTATGAACTTTTTGGCTTTTCTACATAGTTTTATATTCGTTTTCAGTCGTAACTTGTGTGTTTTCATGTTGTTGTTGACAAGTTAAAACAGTTTGAACCGGCGCACGATGCTGTTTCACTGAATTCCTTTGCTGTTAGTAACACTTTGAATACATTTACCAGTTGTAAGTACAAAAAAACTCTGGATATGAACTTATAAATCGCCAAATATTGGAGTAAAAACTTTTCGCCGGTCCGGGGCCGATCGCCAGTTTTCACAAGAGTTTGAAAGTTGAACATTGCATTTTTTTACCTTAAAATGTCTTCTAAAAAGACTAGTTATTCAATGTTCAGAGCTAAATCAGGACGAAGTTTGTTCTTTGAGAACAAATGAGAACAAGGAAGACTCAAAACATCAAAATAAACATGACTTGTGGTTCGGATTTTATACCGAAAAAGTTGTATTTATTTTTGCATATATTTTTAACATTTTCGCGCGAGAACTGAAGATTAGGTACCAGTCCCCCAATGATGAAAAGTGTATGGAGCCACCTTAAGACAGCTCTAATAAAAGAATAAGCCCTGAAAATTTCAGGACAATTGGTTAAATACATCATGAGGTATCTTTTCTCAAAGACGGAAAATGTACATTCCGAGAAAACAAGTGTTAAAGTTTTTAAACAACTGTTCGAGCTGTTCCTGACAGGTTTCAGGGACTTTAGCCTATTTTTTTGTCATTAGAAGTACTTTTAGCACTTCAGAAGCCTCCAGCCTCATAGGTTGTCCCTTCTGCTTCTCATAGAGCTTCGTCTCTCGGTTTTCTTTTGGAGCTGCTCCACCTGTCGACGTCTGTTGTTTTTTCAGATGTCTGGCGGTTAAACTTTCTGACCTGTTTCTTGTCTTTTAAGAGCAAACTTAGTTTTTCCTGCAGTTTGATGTTTGGTTTAAAAGATGTTCCTGTGTGTTAACTTAAATGACTCTATTGGTATAGCTAAATTTTCCATAGTTTTCTTTGCCGAACCCTCTTGCTGGTAACAAGGATGTTTAAAGATGCACACTCCACTCATCGTGCTTACCAAAGGAATATGAAGACCAACATTTACCACAGTTTTTTGTATATGTGAATCAATTTTCAATACCAAATTACATGATTTTGTAAGATAACATTGTCTGTAACTGTATTCTTGTGCTATTGCTGCAAGCGGTACACTCGGTAACCGTATTTGGCCCAAAACAAGCTCTCAAACTTGGTACAACTTGACATGTAATTACAGTACCTAAAATGCAGTACAGAAACAACCTCATTAATATTAATACCAAGAAGCATTAAAATAGTAAAATTATAACAATGAAGCAAGAAATAATGTATTGATATCTGTATCAAAATTGGGTAGAGAAAATCGATCTCTTGATATCATAATATTGCAAATTTGCAATAATTACTAATTATATTATTAATTAACATTTTTGAGTTATTGTATACTAGAATCAATCATTGTCATTCAATGATAGAAAAATACTTACATCCACAACTTTTAAGTTCATCAAAACAAACGTTTGAAGATCTGTTTATAAGATGCCAAAGAATCCAAATCGAAGATGACTGTTGATATTTGGCATTGAGAATGCCCATTGAAATAATGCCCGATTATTGCCTGAATGTGTTCACGTTTTATCGTCGTCTTTATAGCGCATTTCTTCACCCCAGTGAATAAAGTTTCGTTTTAATGTTTTCTGTGAACCATTATTAGTTATTTTTAACCATATTTTAAGAAATATATACACAAAAGTGATCAATATTTGTTAAATATTGAAACACATTTTCGAGTTTGTTCTGTTTGAATCACTAGTTCTCAAAAAACGCATCTATGCGCATAATCACCACGTAAATCCGCTGCAAAATTATCTAGAGATGAGCCTGTATCATTATTTTATATTAGGGAGGGGAGGGACAGCAGTATATTGGTAAAAACATGAAAAATATGAAGGATTCTGCCTTTCGTTACCATGGCAACCAAGCTGAAAATTATAGTGAGGTGGTTAAAAACAGCTCCTGACAGAACAATTTTTTAAATTTAAGTAAATAAATACTTTCACAACATCAATTACATGCCACAGTAACTATTTAGCTCAAAAAATGAAAATCCATTTTTTCAAATGATTCCGCCGTGCACTCTTAAGACCCATATCTTCGCAATCACGGAATTAATCATAAATCCCCACGAGGGAGTCGAAGAGAATTCTTTTAAGAACAACATCTATAATATAGCATTTATAGTATAGCTGATTGGCTAAGAGCCATGTTGATATAACTGAAAATTTCTTTCTTTATATTTCTTTGTGCTATATTATAAAAAAATATGAAGCATTTTTCCGTATTGATATACAGTTACATCAACACTTGTAGAAATTGCGAAATCGGGCGTCGTGTTTCCACACAATTTCTCGTTTTCCCAATTCCAACTCGTGTTGATATTTAACAATTATTCGCCGAAGGCGAGGTGATTATCAGGGAATATTCGCCGAGACGAAGTCGAGGTGAATATTCCCCGATAATCACCGAGCCTGAGGCGAATAATTGTTTTAGTATTTTTACACAAGTCGTTTGTGTTTTTGGGACAAAATTTATTTTAATTTCGCTTATTTCTTTATCAGTAACTTCCACAAAACGGCTAGCCGCCATTTTGAAAATTTCGGTTTTGTTATATTCACCTGTAGGTGAATATAACAGCTTAATTCGTCAAATTTGACCAATCAACGTGTAGGATTTGTTATGTTCACTTGTGCAAAAATACTAAAACTGTATATAGAAAAAACCCCAAAAAACCGCTTGCAGCAAAGCCGTGAAGTGATCCCAAATGATTCCTAAATGTTTGTTTACAAATTGCGCATTCTGTTTGGCTTAGAGCAAAAATGTAAAAACAAAACCGCTAATTGGTCGAGAACGAAATTAGCCTTTCTCACGATGACGAAAATCCGCCATTTTTGGGTGGCATCCAATTCTCGTTAACCGATACAGACACTTAAAACAATGTGAAAAGCAATTTTTCAAAATAAACTAACCATATACATACAAAGCAAATTTACCATCACTTTTCAAAAAAATTATAAAAAGTCGCTGTTATGTGGATTATCTCGCAGACTTCGGCTGAAATGCCCAGGAAATACACAGGACCCTTTTGAAAACCACATTATGTGATATTGGCCGCCTGTATAAAGAATTTTTATAAATAAATAAATAAATAAATAAATAATGCCACCCAAAAATGGCGGCGTGAGAAAGGCTAATTCCCCTTTGTTGACCCATAATTTATTCTTACCTTTACTCGTTCTTTCATTAAAAAATATGCAGTTGAATGAAGAACATCGGCAGCATGAGTTGAATTATGGTATGTATTTTGCTCATGATAATTTGACTCTATTAACTACAAACAGGATAAAAGGAAATAAG